CATGAACATGGAATGTTTCTCCATCTGTTTGTGTCCTCTCTTATTTCATTGAGCAGTGGCTTGTAGTTCTCCTTGAAGAGATCCTTTACATTCCTTGTTAGTTGTATTCCTAGGCATTTTATTCTCTTTGTAGCAATTGTGAATGGCAGTTCATTCTTGATTTGGCTTTTTAAGTCTGTTACTGGTGAATAGGAATGCTTGTGATTTTTGCACATAGATTTTGTATCCTGAGACTTTCCTGAATTTGCTTATCAGTTTCAGGAGATTTTGGGCTGAGACAATGGGGTCTTCTAGATATACAATCATGTCGTCTGCAAATAGAGACAATTTGACTTCCTCCTTTCCTATTTGAATACCCTTTATTTCTTTTTCTTGCCTGATTGCTCTGGCTAGAACTTCCAGTACTATATTGAATAGGAGTGGGGAGATAGGGCATCCTTGTCTGGTGCCAGATTTCAAAGGGAATGCTTCCAGTTTTTGCCCAGTCACTATGATATTGGCTATTGGTTTGTCGTGAATAGCTTTTATTACTTTGAGTTACGTTCCATCAATACCTAGTTTATTGAGGGTTTTTAGCATAAAGGGCTGTTGAATTTTGTCAAAGGCCTTCTCTGCATCAATTGAGATAATCATTTGGTTTTTGTCTTTGGTTCTGTTTATGTGGTGAATTACTTTTATAGTCTTGTGTATGTTGAATCAGCCTTGTATCCCTGGGATGAAGCCTACTTGATCATGGTGGATAAGCTTTTTGATGTGCTGTTGCAATCGTCTTGCTAGTATTTTATTGAAGATTTTTGCATCTATGTTCATCATGGATATTGGCCTGAAGTTTTCTTGTCTTGTTGAGTCTCTGCCGGGTTTTGGTATCAGGATGATGTTGGTCTCATAAAATGATTTGGGAAGAATTCCCTCTTTTTGGTTTATTTGGAATAGTTTCAGAAGGAATGGTACCAGCTCCTCTTTGTATGTCTGTTAGAATTCGGCTGTGAACCCATCTGGACCTGGGCTTTTTTTGGGTGGGAGATTCTTAATTGCTGCCTCAACTTCAGACCTTGTTATTGGTCTATTCAGGGTTTCAGCTTCTTCCTGGTTTAGGCTTGTGAGGAGGCAAGTGTCCAGGAATTTATCCATTTCTTCCAGGTTTACTAGTTTATGTGCATAGAGTTGTTTGTAATAATCTCTGATGATGGTTTGGATTTCTGTGGAATCTCTGGTGATATCCCCTTTATCGTTTTTTATTGCATCAATTTGGTTGTTCTTTCTTTTCTTTTTTATTAATCTTGCTAGTGGTCTGTCTATTTTGTTGCTCTTTTCGAAAAATCGGCTCCTGGATTTATTGATTTTTTGAAGGATTTTTTTGTGTCTCTATCTCCTTCAGTTCTGCTCCGATCTTAGTTATTTCGTGTCTTCTGCTAAGTTTTGATTTTTTTTTTTTTTTTTCGATCTTGCTCCTCTAGCTCTTTCAATTTTGATGCTAGGGTGTCAATTTTAGATCTCTCCTTGCTTTTCATGTGGGCACTTATTGCTATGTATTTTCCTCTAGATACTGCTTTAAATGTGTCCCAGAGATTCTGCTACGTTGTGTCTTCCTTCTCATTGGTTTCGAAGAACATCTTTATTTCTGCCTTCATTTCGTTGTTTATCCAGTCAACATTCAAGAGCCAGTTGTTCAGTTTCCATGAAGCTGTGCGGTTCTGAGTTAGTTTCTGCATTCTGAGTTCTAACTTTATTGCACTGTGGTCTGAGAGACTGTTTGTTATGATTTCTGTTCTTTTGCATTTTCTGCAGAGTGATTTACTTCCAATTATGTGGTCAATTTTAGATTAGGTGTGATGTGTTGCTGAGAAGAATGTATATTCTGTGGATTTAGGGTGGAGAATTCTGTAAATGTATATTAGGTTTGCTTGTTCCAGGTCTGAGTTCAGGTCCTGGATATCCTTGTTAATTTTCTGTCTGGTTGATCTGTCTAATATTGACAATGGGTTGTTAAAGTCTCCCACTATTATTGTGTGGGTGTCTAAGTCTCTGTAAGTCATTAAGAACTTGCCTTATGTATCTGGGTGCTCCTGTATTGGGTGCTTATATATTCAGGATCGTTAGCTCTTCTTGTTGCATTGGTCCTTTTACCCTTCTGTAATGTCCTTCTTTGTCTCTTTTGATCTTTGTTGCTTTAAAGTCTATTTTATCAGAGATGAGAATTGCAACTCCTGATTTTTTTTGCTCTCCATTTGCTTGGTAAATCTTCCTCCATCACTTTATTTTGAGTCTTTGTGTATCCTTGCATGTGAGATGGGTTTTCTCAATACAGCACAATGATGGGTTTTGGCTTTGTAGCCAATTTGCCAGTCTGTGTCTTTTGATTGGGGCATTTAGTCCATTTACATTTAGGGATAATATTGTTAGGTATGAATTTGATACTGCCATCTTGATGCTAGCTGGCTGTTTTGTTTGTTAGTTGATGCAAATTCTTGATTGTGTTGATGCTCTTTACCATTTGGTATGTTTTTGGAGTGGCTGGTACTGGTTGTTCCTTTATATGTGTAGAGCCTCTTTTAGGAGCTCTTGTAAAGCAGTCCTGGTGGTGATGAAATCTCTGAGTACTTGCTTGTTCACAAAGGATTTTATTTTCCCTTCACTTAAGAAACAGTTTTGCTAGATAGGAGATTCTGGGTTGAAAGTTCTTTTCTTTAAGGATGTTGAATATTGGCCCCCACTCTCTTCTGGCTTGTAGGGTTTCTGCTGAGAGATCTGCTGTGAGTCTGATGGGCTTCCCTTTGTGGGTAACCCATCCTTTCTCTCTGGCTGCCTTAAGCATTTTCTCCTTCATTTCAACCCTGGTGAATCTGACGATTATGTGCCTTGGGGTTGCTGTTCGTGAGGAATATCTATATGAAGTTCTCTGTATTTTCTGGACGTGAATATTGGCCTGCCTTGCTAGGTTGGGGAAGTTTTCCTTGATAATATCATGCAGAGTATTTTCTAGTGTTGATTAATTCTCTTCGTCACATTCAGGTACACCTGTCAAACATAGGTTAGGTCTTTTCCCATAGTCCCACATTTCTTGGAGACTTTCTTCATTCCTTTTTACCCTTTTTTCTTTATTCTTGCCTTCTTGTTTTATTTCATTGAGTTGATCTTCGACCTCTGATATCCCTTCTGCTTGGTCAATTCAACTGTTGAAACTTGTGCATGCTTCATGAAGTTCTTGTGTTGTGTTTTTCAGCTCCATCAATTCACTTATATTCCTCTCTGTGTTGTCCATTCTTGTTAGCATTTCGTCCAATCTTTTTTCAAGGTTCTTAGTTTCTTTGCATTGGGTTAGAACATGTTCTTTTAGCTCACTGTAATTTCTTATTACCCACCTTCTGAAGTCTGATTCTGTCATTTCATCACACTCCTTCTCCATCCAGCCTTGTTCTCTTGCTGCTGAGGAGTTGTGATCCCTTTTAGGAGGAGAGGTATACTGGTTTTGGGTGTTTTCATCCTTTTTGCGCTGATTTCTTCTCATCTTTGTGGGTTTATCCACTGTTGTCTTTGTAGTTACTGACTTTGGGTCTCTGAGTGAACTTCCAGTTTGTGGATGCTGAAGTTACTTCTTTTTCTTAGCTTTCCTTCTAACAGTCTGGCCCCTCTGCTGTAGGACTGCTGAGGTCCACTCCAGGCCCTGCTTGCTGTGGGATCACCTGCAGCAGCTGCAGAACAGTAAGGGTTGCTACCAGTTTCCTTTTCTGGTATCTTTTTCCCAGAAAGATGCACGCCAAAAGTCAGTCTGTTCTCTCTTTTATGAGATGACTCTGGATATACAAGGGTCAGCGAGCTGCTTGAGGAGACAGTCTGTCCTTTATTGGAGCTCAAGTGCTGTACTGTGAGCTGCGTTGTTCATTCAGAGCTGCTGGGCAGGTACGTTTAGGTCTGCTACAGTAGAACTCATAAACACCCTTTTTTCCCCCCCAGGTGCTCTGTTCCAGGGAGTCAGGGCTTTATTTATAAGTTTCCGTTGTGCTGTTGCTTTTTTTTTTTTTTTTCTTTCAGGGCTGCCCTGCCCAGCAAGGAGGCAGCCTAGTCCCTGTCTACCTGCAGAGGCTTTGCTGAGCTGCTGTGGGCTCCGCCCAGCTGCCATGTGATCTTCCCTGCAGTCCTCTTTATATGGGTGTAGTTAGAACTGCCTCGGCAATGGTGGCCCACCTCTGTTATGGTGGACTCTCTCTGTAGTGGCAGGTTGCCTTGGCAATGGTGGGTTGCCTCAGCAATGGTGGGCTGCCTCAGCGATGGCAGACTTCCTCCGTAGTGGTGGAGTGTCTCAGTAATGGTGGATGCCCCTCTCCCACAGAGCTGGACCCTCCCGGGTTCATCTGTGCTTGCTGTGAAACTCTCAACCAGGAGCGGTTTCAATTACTGTTTTTTTTGTTGGGGGGTGTGTGGGTGGGACAGCCTAGCCTGATCACCTGGCTTCCTGGCTCAGAGTCTCTTTTATTGTTGTTGGTGAATGGTCAACTCTCTCCCAGAGTTCCAGTCACCTGTTGAAAAGGTGCCGGATCTCCTGTGCTGTGACCCACTGAGCCGGCTGAAACAGCAGCGCTGAGATTCCTGGCGGTTTTTTGCCTAGGAATCTCCTGGCCTGGCTCAGGTGACTCTGCCCTCTCAGGGCTCCAATAGCCAGCTGAGAGGGCACCCGGACCAGTGTCTTTTGTATGGAGAACCGCTATGCCAGGGCGCAGGCAAAGCAGCCGCGTGGGTTGAAACAGCCGTGCCAGTCGCACAGGCCAAAACAGCCGCACTGGTGATCCATGGGGCTCTTCCGCCTGGGAATCTCCTGGTCTGCGGGCAATAAAAATCCATCTGGAAATGCGGCGTCCACTCACCCTCTGCACTTTAACTGGGAGCTGCAATCCTGAGCTGTTCCTAGTCGGCCATCTTCCCCCCATTTCTCACATTGAAATTTTCTATTCCAGACATAGGAATTTTTATCTAATTACAAACATACAGTACCACTTTTCATGCCTTTAAATTGATTTTTATTTAATATATGCAGAACATAACAGATGTTAAATTTAGCAGAATTTCTGGAAACACCTGGTAGAATTTTATCTGACCTTCCAATATATGTTTGCTATCTTAGTCAGAATCCTGTTTACTTGGACTATTTTATGTTAACAATGTTTCTGTCTACAGAAAAAGATGTTAAGAAACTGAAAACATTTACTTGATTCAACTGCTGACTCAATACAGATGACTGGACTGATATTTCAATGATGTATTTTCAAAAGCACAGTATAAACAGAGGTTTCTTCCTTCCTCATAGGTGTTTCTTACTGAGATGTACTATTAGTTTGTGTTCCTTTCTGCCAATTTATCTGATAATACTAAAATTTATGTTCATGCAATTTTGTCTTACTTTGGTAGTCAAATTATGAATTTTTGGAAGTTACATTTTAAAATGAATTTACTGAAATTTTACTTAATTTCCAAGAAAATTGCATGAATGTTGTCTAAGTTCAAAGAGAATGTTAAATGTCCTTCTACAGATAGGACAAAAATATTTCCAACCATTATTGGTGTTTATGAGCATAACCCTCAAGTTATGATTAGATCTAGAAATATCCACAAAACCCTTTATACTAAAAATACATTGAATTTGGATCCGTGAAATATAGATCAGTGGACTCACAACAATTCGGAATCTGTATTTCCCTTTAGGGTTAATTGATTTGTAAACTCTTCCAGATGTCATTCTCTCAATGTGGGGATGATAGTAGTGCTCCCTAAAAGGCCTTCCAAATATTATGGCTCTGTCAGTATGGGTGAAACTATTTGGATGGTAAAGACAAGCTATATATTTTTGCTTTACCCACATGGTATTCTGACACCCTGCAGCCTGAGAGAAATATCTCCCACATAGCAGGCGGAGCATCATATTTCTTATCTCACGATTTTTAAAAAATGGGACTCTCCATGAAACTGTGAGTTGAAAACGGGTTTTGTCATTTATAGTGCTAGGACGGAAATTGTTTGTTTTCATTTCAACTTTGCCCGAGTGGGATCCTGATCTATCATTTAAGGGCCCATTTTTGTCAATGTTTACTAGCAGGATTCTCAAATAGGGCATTCTCCTTAATCCTGACATCAGAGAAACAAATTTTCTAGGAATGGGGATCTGAAGTAGAAGAGACTCCTCTTCTTTGATGTCTTCTAGTTGAGGATCTTTTTGAATCTCTGTTTCAAGCTCACTATCTTCTGCTGCTTGAGGAACAACATCTTCCTGGGCGGTTGATGTGCCCGGCTCCCTGTTTATTGGGTTGATTCCTGTCTGATAGATCATATTGGGATCAGCAGATGGAGACTCCATGTCTGTATTACAGTCATTAGAAGACTCATTTTCAGAATTTTTATGGGCATTTTCATCTGGATCGCTTTCTTCTTTAGTAGGAGAACTCATCCTTGGTTCTATTTATGAGAAAGAAGATGAAGATTTACCAAATTTCTGTATGGTCCATTTTGTAAGAATTCAGTTCTTTGGTCATAGCAAAACCCTGTGAATGTGCTATTTCTGTGCTTTCTCACAACTATAAATATTAGAGTCACAAAGCTACAGAATAAAGTAGGGAAAAGTGAAAACTGAGGGCAAATATAAGCCTCCTATTAAATATATTTTCTCATAACTTAGTTATGGAATTTGATTAAACTTGGAATAACTTAACTCTCATTTGACTATTTTAGGCATATACTCTATGCACTTGTACACATTTAGTTCTGGATAGAAGGCCCAATTATTTGCTTTTGGATGGTGAATTATAAATAATTTTCATTATGTCTGAATTACCTACCTGAGAATTTTAAATGAGGCTGAAATAGAAGGAAGGTATGAGTGTATATGTTTCAAAGAGAATTAAGACCTATGTGAAAATGATATTGTTGTATTTGTATAAGGTACAAGCCATTCTTTTCCTGTAATTTTTTTGTTTTCTTAAAAACCTGCCTTTTTAAAAGTAACGTCTAGCTAGGCCAAACGCAGTGGCTCATGCCTGTAATCCCGGCACTTTGGGAGGCTGAAGCGGGCAGATCACCTGAGGTCAAAAACTCAAGACCAGCCTGACCAACCTGGTGAAACCCTGTCTCTACAAAACTACAAAAATTGGCTAGGGTGCCTGTAGCCCCAGCTATTTAGGAGGCTGAGGCAGGAGAATCGCTTGAACCCAGGAGGTAGAGGTTGAAGTGAGCCAAGATCGGGCCGTTGCATTCCTGTCTGGGTGACAGAGAAAGACTCTGTTTCTAGATAGATAGATAGATAGATAGATAGGTAGATAGATAGATAGATAAAGTAATGTTTATATGAAGAAGTGTAACTTTGAATCACATGAGAAGGAAAAGCAGGCTGGATAAGAAGGTAGGAAGCTAATGAGTGAAGTTCAAACTCTGTGAGTTCATTTATTAAAATGTCTTCCAAATTCACTACTTTCTGTTTATTCTCAATGTCTCAGTACTAGTCAAGCTAAAAATTACTTCATGCTTGCTTTACTGCTGATAGTGGCTGATCTCACTGATTGCAAACTCTACACTTGCCACTCTCGTCACCCCGTCCTCTTCCTTTTTTTTACTTTCCTTATGTATTTTACCTGCTCAGATACTTTCAGTGTACCCTAAACTCTGAACTCCATGCTTCCAATTCTACTCTAGAGGGATCTTTGAACAATCAATTTGGCAGATTTCTTCAGAGCAGGATTATGGGCAGGGAACTTTCTTACTGAAGTCAGTGGTGGAGAAAGGCGAACATACGTGAGCTGAAAAGAAATCTGGTAAAATTTGAGAAATTAACTAATATGGTTTTTATTTCTCATGGCTAGCTTTTATGAGCTAGCCTAGGCAGAATTTATGAATATGTTAGCAGGATTTAAAGATGTAGAATGATGTGGAACCTTATCTCATAACTACAGTCTTCGGAGATGCTACACAATCTGGCTCCATCTCCCCTAACCAACTTTTTCCTCTATTAACTCAACATGTATTCTCTGTTCCAATACTGCTGAGCTTTTATTATCTCATGCTCATCAAACCTTTCAATTCAGTCTTCAATTATTTTTTCAGAGTTTGATATGAATTCACGTGTGACTATTTTTCTATCAAATAGACTTTATATTTTTTTATTTATCGTGTGATATGTTCTGATCCTGCTTGATTCATGCTTACTTTGTAAAACTCTAACATTTAAATATAGGTATTTCTCAACTAGTCTACTTTTGCTTACTTTCTTCTTCAGAATCCTTGCACATTCCTATCATTTCACAGGCATAATTTGGAGTCCTTGCTAAGCTTTGCTGAGTTTTATGTTTTCAATATTGGCAATTAGAAAAGTTCTCTACATAAATAGCATCAGCGGTTATCATCAAGGCAAAACAATAAACAGAGTCTACATTTTAGAGGCTTTCTAAATAAAGTAAATTGAACTCACAAAATTCGAGGATAATATAACTGGCTGCTTCTCAGTAAGGCTGGAATCCAGTCATTCGGTGAGAACTGAAGTTGTTGGTGGTAATCTATAGCTTTTCAGATGAACCCTGAAAATAAATCAAGATATTTTTATAAAAAAAGGAAAAAATAGTTAACACCTGCACCTTCTTTCCCCAAGAAAAGCATCTATGCTGCTCTGCTCTTTGGTAGGGTTGTTTACTTCCATATTTCAGGATAACTATGAGATTCATTGTTCCCTTCTACATTCTGAAATAGGATTGTATAGAAGAAATATCCAGTGTTCATTGTGAATATACTCACATATTTATCACATATATTTATGCCATTAGACTATGTTAAGACTGCTTTTTCAATAAACATAATATATGTGATATCTAAAGGCTTATTGCCTGCCAAAATGTAGTTACCTCACAAAGCTATGTACTTAAGGTTATTATTGCTCATTAAAAAAATAAACACTCAAAAGAATTGCACAAGAAGTCTGTATGTATTCTGTTAAACCTTTCGATCTTTATATTTTAATGTTTGGACTTATGTTTAGAAATAGCCAAGAGTCATATTCTTATTTAATCACTTTTTAAAAAATACCAGAGAAGATCCAAGATGACTGATAAGGAGCAGCTTGGGATTGCAGCTCCCAGTGAAAGCGCGGAGGGTGAGTGGATGCCGCATTTCCAGATGGATTTTTATTGCCCACAGAGCAGGAGATTCCTAGGTCGAGGAACCCCATGGGTCACCAGCCTGACTGTTTTGGCCGGTGCGGCCATTTCGGTCCCCATGGCAGTTTTGGCCCATGCGGCTGCTTTGCGGTGCCCTGGCAGGGCACTTCCCCATACAAAATACACTCACCCCTGTGCCCATTTGGCTAGCAATTGGAGCCCTGGGAAGGCGCAGTCATCCATCCATCTGACTAAAGGGGGGTCTGAGTTAGGGAGCCAGGCCAGGAGATTCCCGGGCAAAAACAAACAAAAAAACAAAAGGCCCAGCGAATCTCAGCACTACTGTTACAGCCAGCGCAGTGAGTCCCCGCAGGGGAAATCACATAGACCCCGGTGCCTCTTCAGTAGGAACACCTGGGAGAGAGTCGATTGTTCAGTTGGGCTGTTTTGGTCCCCAAGGCTGTTTTGGCCCACACGGCTGTGGCGCCCTGAAGATCAAAAGGCTCTGAGGCAGGAAGCCTGGTGATGAGGCTCGGCTGGTCCCACCCCACAGAAGAACAGCAATCGGAAACTCTTTGGATTGAGTGTTGCACAGCAAGCACAGCTGAACCCGGGACGATCCATCTCAGTGAGGGAGGGGCGCCCGCCATTGCCAAGGCAACCTGCCATTATAGCGAGAGTCTGCCATTACAGACGCAGGCCACCAACGCTAAGACAGTTCTAACTATGCCCATATAAACAGGACTGCATGAAATTTCACAGGACAGCTGGGCGGAGCCCATAGCAGGCAGCAAAGCCTCTGTAGGCAGACAGTGACTAGGCTGCCTCATTACTGTGCAGGGCAGCCTTGAAAAGTAAAAAAAAAAAAAAAAAAAAAAAGGCAGCAGCACAACGGAAATTCATAAATAAAGCCCTAACTCCCTGGGACAGAGCACCTGGGGGAAAAAAAAAAGGTGTTTATGAGTTCCGCTGCAGCAGATCCAAGCGTACTTGCCCAGCAGCCCTGAATGAAAAACGGACCTCACAACTCAGCACTTGAGCTCCTATAAAGAACAGACTGTCTACTCAAGCAGCTCCCTGACCCCCGTATATCCAAAGAGTCACCTCATAAAGGAGAGATCAGACTGATATTTAGTGGGTATCCTTCTGGAACAAAGATAGCAGAAAAAGAAACTCGTAGCAACCCTTACTGTTCTGCAGCCACTGGAGGTGATCCCCAGGCAAGCAGGGTCTGGAGTGGACCTCAGCAACCCTACAGCAGAGGGGCCAGACTGTTATAAGGAAAACTAAGAAAAAGAAGAAACTTCAGCATCCACAAACTGGAAGCTCACTCAGAGCCAATCTGAAAGACAGTAACTACAAAGACAACAGGTGGATAAACCCACAAAGATGGGAAGAAACCAGCACAAAAAGGATGAAAACTCCTGAAACAGAACACCTCTCCTCCTAAAAGGGATCACAACTCCTCACCAGCAAGGGAGCAAGACCGGATGGAGAAGGAGTGTGATAAAATGACAGAATCAGACTTCAGAAGGTGGGTAGTAAGAAACTACAGTGAGCTAGAAGAGCATATTCTAACCCAATGCAAAGAAACTAAGAACCTTGAAAAAAGATTTGATGAAATGCTAACAAGAATGGACAACATAGAGAGGAATATAAGTGAATTGATGGAGCTGAAAAACACAACATAAGAACTTTGTGAAGCATGCACAAGTTTCAACAGTTGAATTGATCAAGCAGAAGAAAGGATATCAGAGGTTGAAGATCAACTCAATGAAATAAAACGAGAAGGCAAGATTAGAGAAAAAAAGTGCAAAAAGGAATGAACAAAGTCTCCAAGAAATATGGGACTATGGGAAAAGACCTAATCTATGTATGATAGGTGTACCTGAATGTGACGAAGAGAGTGAATCCAAGCTGAAAAATAGTCTTCAGGATATTGTCCAAGAAAACTTCCCCAACCTAGCAAGGCAGGCCAATATTCAAGTCCAGGAAATACAGAGAACACCACAAAGATATTCCTCACGAACAGCAACCCCAAGGCACATAATCGTCAGATTCACCAGGGTTGAAATGAAGGAGAAAATGCTAAGGGCAGCCAGAGAGAAAGGATGGGTTACCCACAAAGGGAAGCCCATCAGACTCACAGTAGATCTCTCAGCAGAAACCCTACAAGCCAGAAGAGACTGGGGGCCAATATTCAACATCCTTAAAGAAAAGAACTTTCAACCCAGAATCTCCTATCTAGTAAAACTAAGCTTCATAAGTGAAGGAAAAATAAAATCCTTTGTGAACAAGCAAGTACTCAGAG